TAGTGAACATTTGCCTACATTTTATTTTCATCTTTATGATTTTATTCTTACATTTGCATTTTTACCCGATCTGTGGCCATATCCAGCATAAAGAATGAAACTGACATCAGTAGTATTTTATATCACTGGCGCCATCATCACTGATGTAATATTTTTCCTCGTTTGGTGTAAGTTATACCTTTCTTTTACATATGATGGATCTGTTTCTGTACGGTCTGTCATAATTTTTTTTTTTGAAGGCCAGACTTTATGTCATTGTTTATTCTTTTTTTTTTTTTCTTTTTTAACATTTTATTAGGGGCTCATACAACTGTTATCCCAATCCATACACACATCAATTGTGTAAAGCGCATTTGTACATCGTTTCTCAAAACATTTTCTCTCCATTTAAACCCCCGACATTAGGTCCTCATTTTTCCCCTCCCTCCCCGCTCCCCCCTCCCACATGAGCCCCCGATAGTTTATAAATAAGTATTTTGTCATATCTTGCCCTGTCCGACGTCTCCCTTCATCCACTTTTCGGTTGTCTGTCCCCCAGGGAGGAGGTCACATTTTATTATTCTTCCCACGCCAATAAAACACAGCTTTAGTTACTCCCAGGGCCCTGGTAGTGTTTATGCAATAGGCTGTTTGCCTCAAAGTCAATAGTTCGTAACTACCAGCCACCCTATGGGGGAAAGATGAGGCTTTCTACTCCCGTAAACCATTCCATTCTGGAAGACTCAGCAAGGCAATTCTGCCTTGCCCTATAGGGTCACTCTGAGTCAGCATTTATTCAGTGGCAACGAGCTTGTTGATGTCTTTTTGTTTTATTTTTAAATTACTTTAGATGCTTTCTAAATTTGAATGCCTGAGAGTGAAAGTATTTTTTTTACTATTTTTTTTTCATATTTTCTGAGTTTAGCTGGCTGGGTGTATTTATTCTTCCAGGTGAATGTTAGAAATTCCCTTCTGAATGTTCACCTGTTAGCATTTCCATAGATTTTTATTATTTCTCGCCTTTCCAACTAGTGCTCTCATCCAGCACACGATGTGCCTTACGAAGGCTGGCCTGCTTACATTTCAGCTACAAACATAAGAAACATTAATAGCAATGAAGGTAACTGCCAGCCCATTACTTTAATGAGGTCTCATTTCTGGACACATGAAGTCTTTCGGTGGCTCCCTGTTGGTGTAAAGTAATTTCTGTATTCTTCAACTTACGGTGAAGATGTACCTTAAGTGAATGTTGCAAAGAGCCTTGAGGAGAAAGTTCAAGGGGTGTGAAACTGTTAAGAGACTTTGAAAGTTAGGAAATGCCATGACATCGCTCTAACTCAATTCTCCGGTGTTATTCCAGCTCAGCTCCAATCCTAACATTTCTGCTGATGCCTGTTCCACGAGTCTCAAGGCTTTCTCTTGCTAAGTTTTCACTCAGCTTAGTCACACCACTTGGGACGACTTGCTTACCTTCACCTATGTGTGTAGAAATGTTACTAATTCATCAAAAGCCACCCAAAGGTTTTTCCACTCACTTCATTTTTGTTCGTGCAAACTCCAGTTGTGAATCCCTGGATCCTCATCTCATCATATACAACTAGAAATGATTCATTTAAACTAGTGTGCTAATACCACTATGCATTGACTCATTACATGTCATTGCATTTATGACTGTGCTTTAAGGGTCTAAAGTCCCTGAGCATGATGTTTCAGATAAATTTGCTTTGCACCATACTGACTTTGAAATCATTAAGTTTTTTTGCCAAAAAAAATTGTTTGAACATACTTGTAGAAAATATATAACAAGAAAAAATATGCAGTGTTAAGATGCAGTGTTAATGCCAATTGATGATAGTCAAGTTGAAATAATTAATATTTGAAAATTATACCAAGGATGTTATCAAGCATATAGATAGGTTCATTATCAAAGGTTTTACTTAATAAGATTGCTAGATAACTTACAGTATTCCCAGGTAAGCTCGCATTTCAAATTACCAAAGGATTGCTTTATAATGCTTTTAATTGTTATAAATCAGCCCCTGTATCTTATGGGAAATGCATTGGCTAGGTGCCTTTGCTTGTTTCTTTTGTTAGTTGATTGGAGTCGCTCACACTCATAGCCTTCCTGTGTGCAACAGAATGAAAGAGTGCTTGATCCGGGGCCGGCCCCACAACTGTGGCCATGTTTGAAATCATTGTTGCTGCAACCACTGTGTCAAGCCGTCTCATTGAGGGCCGCCCTCCCTTTTCACTGACGTCTACTTCACTAAGCATGATGTCCTTCTCCAGGGACTGCTTTCCGGGTAGCATGTCCAAAGTATAGAAGAGAAGTCTCACTATCCCTGCTGCTTCGAAGAGCATTTTGGCCGCACTGCCATCAGACAGACGTGTTGGTTCTTCAGGCCGTCCAGGGTGCTTTCAGGAGGCTTTGCAGCACTATGACTCAGCTGCATCGGTTAATCTCTGCTACCTCTTATTCATTGTCCAGTGTTCACATGAGCGTGAGATGTTTGAAAAATACCATGGCTTGGGACAGGCATACTTCCATTCTCAAAGTAGGGCTTATGAAGTGGATTTGCCCAGTGCAGTATGCTCAGATTTCTTAGAAGACGAGATCCTTGACAATTTCAACTTTTTTTTTTTTTGCTTATCATGATGTTACTTACTGCCTCAGTCATGAGGGCTTTATTTTCTTTACATTAAGTTGTGGTCCTCACTGAAGGCTCCAGACTTTAATAGTCGTACGTGCTTCAGACTCCCTTGACTTTCAGCAAGAAACAATGGGTCATCTGTATATTGCAGGTTGCCCCGTAAGGCTTCCTCCAATTCTGGTGTTGTGGTCTTTTTCAGATAGTCCAGCTTCTCAGATGATTTACCCACCATACAGACTGAATAACTACTGCGAAAGCTAGAACCCTGATGCTCACCTTTCCCGATGTTCAGTCACGCAATGCCCTCTTGTTTGTTTGAGTGGCTGCCTCTTGGTCTGTGCGCAGTTCTGCAGGAGCACAATGAGGTGCCTTAGAAGTGCCGTTCTTTGCCATGTTAGCCACAGTTTGTTAGGACACAGATGGTTAGGTTGTCAAGAAAATAGAAGCAACTGTCTTTCTGGAAGTCTGTGCTGTCAGCCAGGATATATCTGACATCAGAAATGATAGCCCTATTTCCATGTCCTCTTCTGAATCTGGCTAGAATTTCTGGCAGCTCCTTGTCAATGTACTGCTGCATCTACTTTTTAATTATCTTCAGCAAAAATTTACTTGCATGTGATCTTAATGATATTCTTCAATAATTTTTGAATTTTGTTTGGTCCTTTTCCTTTGGAAATGGTAGAAATATGGATCTCTTCCTGTCAGGTGGCAAGATAGCTGCCATCCAAAATTCTTAGCATAAACAAGTGTGTGCTTCCAGGGATTTCAGTTTTTGAGGAAACATTACAATTGTCATTCTGTCAATTTCCACATCCTTGTTTTCACCACAGGAGCCTTTATGGCATAACGGTTATGAATCAGGCTAGTTATGAATTCATACACCCCGCCACCACCAGCTGCTCCTCAGGAGAAAGATGCACTTTGTACTTTCATAAAGGCCCACAGTCATCTGGGAACTTCGCAGGGGCAGTTCCACCCTGTCCTATGGGACACTATGAGTCGGCATTGACTCGATGCAGTGAGTTTGGCTTAGGGCTTGTTTTTCACTATTGTCGTCAGTGAAACTGGAACTTTTTTCCTTAATTCCCTCAATTCTTGATAATACCCTACGTCTTGAAGCAGATATATACTACACAAGTTATTTGGTTTATATTTGAAATTAAAACTTAACTGTACATTCTAGTTTGTTAGTGTTGTTTTTGCTAAGTCTGTCCATCTTAATCCTTAGGGTATTTCTTTCATATATATCAAATGTCCAGACTACAATAAAATTACATTTCTGTGATTAGTTAGAAACTTTTGGATGTGTTGCATTGGGTTACACATTGAATCACTAACTCACAAGGTCACTTGTTCAAACTCACCAGCCACTCTTCAAGAAAAAGATAAGTCTGTATACTCCCGTAAAGATTCAAAAAGCCTTGGGAAGCCACAGGGACACTTCAGTCTGTCCCATAGAGTCATTATGTGTGCACGTTGGAGTCCATGTCTGACTCTCCAGAAAGCCCTCAAGGATTGGTTTCCAGGGGGAAAAAGAAGTTGGCCTTTGGCTATTCCACCATTAGTTACTCTTCCACTCTTGAACATCTGCAACAATAACGAGTATGAAGAGGATGTTAGTTTATTGTGCCAACCTGGCTGATAAACGGTTAATTGAAGGGCAGAGCGATAAATGGCTCGGTGAGCCTTGCCTTTCTTGTTCTGGGTCTCTTGTTTTGTGATGGTCGGACCAGGGTGCAGCTGCCTTAGCCAGTTCCCTGCTTCAGCTGGCAAGGCTTACTTCCTGCAGGACATCCCCAAGGAGAAGCCACATGGACCTACCCCAATGCAGCCCTGGGTGCTGGAGCACCCGCATGGAGACCCCTGCCAGCGCTGAGATGTTTACACATTCACTGACTCAGCTTTCCTCCTGCAGTCGGCATCATTGTGTCTGTTTTGTGAGATGGAGGAGGACTTTGTGGATTGGTGTTGGACATATGGACATATGGGTTAATGTTGGACTTGTGGGCTTGGGCAGCACTGGGTTGGGATGTTTTTTTGATGCACACTTAGCCTTTATATAAAACTCTCTCATACATGAGTTTCTGTAGATTTGTTTCTCTAATACCCAGACTAATACATATGAACTTCTAGCTAAATCAGTTAATTGGAAAAAGGAGAATTATTTGAAAATTCACAAACAATGATTTGTGTAACTTTACAAATTACCTCTCAAAATACAAAAGCATGCTTGTCATTGAGTCCCTTTTGTCATACTGTCTTGAAATGTTCATTTTGAGGATTTCAATCTGACACTATTTTCAGACTTGTCTCTTAAGGATAAGAACAGTGCTGCTCTCACTTGAGGAAACGTCTTTGATGTAATTGCAGAGTGTGGAAGGAGAGCACCACGAGAAGGCCGTGGAGCTCCTCAAGGCTGCCAAGGACAGTGTCAAGCTGGTGGTCCGATACACTCCGAAAGTCCTGGAAGAAATGGAGGCTCGTTTCGAAAAGCTAAGGACAGCCAGGCGTCGGCAGCAGCAGCAGTTGCTAATTCAGCAGCAACAGCAGCAGCAGCAGCAGCAGCAGCAGCAGACACAGCAAAATCACATGTCATAGGTGAGAAGTGCCTGATTCTCTGTGGACATGTGCTTTCTGTATGTGCTTTTGCAGACAAAAATCACTCAACTTAATAATCCAAACAAAATCATCAAACACAAGCAAAAATGAATTATCTCAGAAAATATGAACCAAAGAGCTTACTTTTTGTCATTCACTCATATTTCCCTCGACATATGATGTTCTAGAAGACAATAGACGTTGGGAGGTCAGGTTCAGACTGTGTGATAGCTGGATAGAAATAAAACTAAACACGGTCCCAGTGCAAACCCAGACCCTCGGGCACTTTGCAAGGTTAGGTGACTGTGGGCTGGATTCCAGCTCGCGCTCACTTCCTTGGCCTATTACCGCTGCGCAGTGTTCAACTAGCACAACCGTGTGGTCAGATACCATCTCTAAGCCAAAACGCCAAGCCCACTGCTACTGAGCCAATTCAGACTCGTGGCGAACCCAGTGGATAGAGCCAAGCTACCCCCACAGACTTTCTGTGACTGGACATCTAGACAGAAGCAGACTCTCACATCTTTCTCCTACAGAGTTGCTGGTGGGGTTGGTTAGCAGGCAAGTTCTTCAGCACAGGGCCACCAGGGCACTTCAGATTCCTTCTAGAACACTGAATTACACTTATTGGAAAATGGCTCCTGGGGTGGGGAAAAATACAATGAAATCTACCAGTAAGATGCATAGCGCTCATGCTCAGAGAGATTCTGAAGCTCTTTTGGAGTATTTAAATATTTTTAAAATGGACCTAAGGGGCACCTGCCTTTTTTATAAATTCTACTTTGTGACCCCCACAAAAAAATGCTAATTCAGGTTTTGCTGTATAATTTCAAAAGTAATTGAAAAAGATATGCTAATAAAAACCATAATCTTGGAAGTACCTGCTATGTGTTAGCTTCTTCCCACATATCCTCTTTAATCTTTCTAAAAAAATTATAGAAGTGTGATGTAGAAAAACAAAGTGATGGGGATGAGCCAGTTGCCACCCTCTGCTTTCACAGTGGGGACAGAGAGTGCCATTGCCTCTATCTCATAAAGAAAATGAGGCTGCAGGAGCTCGTTTTCCATGAGCACCACACCATCTTGGGCATTTAGTGCTGCTGTAACAGGAAGGCCACAGGTGGCTGGCTTTAATGAAGTTGTCGATTCTCTCACACTTTGAGACTAGAAGTCAGAATCCAAGATCCCAGTGCTAGGCAAAGGCTCACTCTCTCTTTCTGCCAACTCTAGGAGGAGGGTCTTTTCCTCTTTTTAAAGGGGCCCTACCCCTGCAGAGCTTCTTGTGTCTTGGTGTCAGTCGTCCCCTGTGTCTAGGAGGTTCTCGGCACCTGGTTCCAAAGGGCATGCTCCACTCTTGGGTCATCGCTCTTAATGTTAGTCAAGTACTTCCAGCTCTCCTTGCATTTGCCTCAGATTCTCTCAGGAGATGAAAGATGATGCAAGCCCCATGCACGGAAGACTCTCGACATTGATTCAGGACTGTAACCTGAGTCAGGGTTGTGACTCAACTAAGGGAAGAGTGATAAAGTCCATCCTATTGATACTCCGTGAACCGAAACATGCCATGACACTCTTTTGACATGATCGATTCCTGCACATTAGCCACAGACAAGGGCATCACAAAATAGAAAATGACCACCGGATGCTGAGAATCACGGCTGCCAAGTTGACACATTTAGGGGAGGGGGGGAGACACAATTTGCTCCATGACACACACAGTAGTCAGAGGTAGTACTGCACTGTTCTTTCATTCTCTTGTCGGTTACATTGTCGGGCACCCTCAGAGAGTGTGAAGCCAGTCCCTGCTGCATTTGGAAGCACCAGTTCATATTTCCGGACAGGCGGGTCTCCTCTGTGTGATTTCCGACCTCCTCCACGATGATTCCAGTAAATCTGCCTTTCAAATGAGGCTCACATGGTCTTGAAAAAAATGACACTGGGTAATAGGTAATAGTGGCTTTAGGCATTTAATTGCAGATTATTTGCATAACCAGGAACATTGGACATAATGTAACATTCCTTAAAAGGCAAGGCTGCATAGGAGAATGAAGAATATGGAATTTGATCACACAATCGTAGGACAATTATTAAAAAGAAGAAGACACTGCTATCAAGCCGATTCTGATTCATGGCGAGCCTATATGACAGGCGAGAACTAGTCCGGTGGGTTTCTGAGACTGTAACTCTTTGGAGGATTAAAAAGCCTTATCTTTCCTCCTCGGAGTGTGACTGGTGGTTTTGAACTGTTAACTGTGTGCTCAGTAGCTTAATGTGTACCCCACCCCACCACCAGGCTCTTCGGGAAATCAACAGTCCATCTTTCATAGACCTACCCCATAAGAGGATAGACCTGACTATCTGCTCCCATAAAGATGACCACGTAGGAAGCACTATGTGGGTGATTCTACTCTGCCATATGCCCTGTGACTCAGAATCAACTTGAAAGCTATACATGTACACACAATATTAGGATAAGCAAAAGATATTGCTACAAAATTATAGAAGCGGGATATTCAAAAAAGGTGGCAGGGTGGGGTGGGGATGTAGCATCTGACCTCTTCTGCTTTCACAAAGGGGACAGAGACCCACCACCACAGCTGCTCAAGGCCAAACCCTGTGAGGCTGAGGTCAGACATACTTCACATGCCAACCTGCCTTACCAATTCTCACACCAATCATCCCTCCCACGGGACTGTGTGCTTTTCAGCTGAGTTCAAAATTTCAGTGCAATGGTCACATAGAAATTACAGGCTAAACTCATGAGGATAAGGATGATTAAGAGGATTCACGGGTTACAATTTTGTTGTGGTTAGCTGCTGTCCAGTCGAATCCGTCCCATAGCGACCCCACATGCACCACAGACCGAAACTCTGCACGGTCCTGCACCATCGTCACAATTGTTCCTGTACCTGAGCCCATTAATGAAGCCACTGTGGCAGTCCCTCTCATTGAGGGCCTTCTGCTTTGTACCAGCCCTCCACTTCACCAAATGTGATGTCCTTCTCCGGGGACTGGTCTCTCCTGACATGTCCAAAGGATGTAAGATGAAGTCTTGCCATCCTTGCCTCTAAGGAGCACTCTGGCCTTTCCTTCTTCCAGCATGGATCCGTTTGTCCTTTGAGCAACACATACTACTTTCCATGGTCTGCTCCAGCGGCACAGTTCGAACGCATCTATTCATTTACAGTCGTCCATAGTCAATGTCCAAAGTTACAATTAGGGACCAGAAATGTCCAGGATGCGTTTGGTTTTTTTTTGCAGGGGGGGGCGGGGCGGGCGCGCGCATTGTTTAGTTTTGTTTTTCAGCAGAACAGCTACTTACCTGGGCCCACAGGTACACTTCTCTATGGTAATTGGTGTCTCAGCCATAAAGTCTTGTCCTTTTCCCTGTTCAGGCCATGTTACAGAGCTGTTTTACTGCTGTTGTTAAATGCCCCAAAGGTATGCCATTCCACCGTAACCCTTAGCCCAGCGGCACTCAGCTATAACTTCCCCATCTAGTGCCTGAGGACACCCCACTCAGCGAGCAAGCTTGCTGCCAGAAGACTCCCACCTTTACTTACTCCATGGGCTGGGAAGCCCACTCCGCTGTTGTTGCTCTGCTATCCTGCACTCCTCCGACAGCACAGCTGTCTGTCCCTGGGCAAGGGGTTCAGTGAGCCGGGTTATGGTGACTCGAAGGCCACACTCCACACCTGGCTCTTTATTCTTGATGGTAGTAAGATCAGAAAAATGATCATCACATTGGTTCAGGACTGTGACCAGAGTAAAGGATGACAACAAGTAACCCTCTTAATAGTCACTCACAGCTGAATTATGTAATGTATCAGCACCTTCTGCTACCCTCTCTCACCCAGACCTCTCTGGAAAATCATTGTTTGGTAGTAGTTACAGGCAAGAAGAGCCCTATCAAGCAAGTCACATGTACCACATGTATATTAAACAAGAATATGAAAATGTTAAACTATTGATCTATACCTTTCTGAAGGTGGTATTTCCATCTCACTAGCCACCCCTCAAAGAATTCTGTACTCCTCAACTTATGCTGTCAAATGTCAGCTTGGGCATCTTCGATGAACTCAAATTCCCTTTAAATGCTCTTTGAATTTGAGAAACAAAAAGAAGTTTGGTGGGGCAAGATCAGAGCTGTAAGGTAGACAGGGTCCGGTTTCCCAACCAAATTCTGCACTTGGCTGTGATGGAAAACAAAATTTCAGAGCAACTTGCCTAGCCGTTTTCTCAGCAATGCAATTCTTTAATTTTAAAAATTTTGTTCTTCATGATAAAAACTTATTTATCATCCTGTGTTCTTTAACAAAATCTTTCAAGATTCACAATTTGGAATGCCCCCCCTACCTGCCCCCCCAAAACAAAACAAAACACAGATGCCTTAATCTTCTGAGGTGACGTTTTGCAGTGAATTTCACATGCCCAGCAGAGCCCTGGTGGTGTAGCGGTTACTCACTGGGCTGCGATCTTCATGGCCGGCAGTTCTAAACCACCAGCAGCTCTGCAGGAAAAAGTCTAAACTTACTACTCCCATGTGTTAGTCCAGGTAGACTGGAGAAATAAATCCATAGAAACTCATAGGTGTATAAGACAGAGTTTCATCTAAAGGGTAATGGCGCATTAAGAAAGCATCTCAACTTAGTCCAGTCTAAACCCATAAGTCCAATATTAGCCTATATGTCTGACACAAATCTGTAAAGTCCTCTTCAGATTCACAAAACACATGCAATGACGCCGAATGCAGGGCATTCATTGGCCAGTGGGTAGAAAGTCTTTGGATCCAGTGGCATTGTAAGCATCTCAACACTGGCAGGGGTCTCTAAGTGACTTCTCCAGCTTCTCAGGTCTGGTTGCATCAGGGTAGATCCATGTGGCTTCTCCAGCTCAGGGCACTAGGGAATTCCATGTGTCTTGTCAGCTGCAATGTCTCCCAGGGAGTGAACAGAGAGAGAGAAGTGTCTCCCACCTCCAAGGAGGTAAAAACCAGAATTCTCAGGAGAGGGCCATGCCCACACAGAGGCCTCATTGGCTATGACCCAATTGACAAACTAGACTACACCCTTCACGCTTAATCCTCTCAAGCCTCAAACTGACTCCAGATTGTGTAACTACCACATCCCATAAACAGTTACAGTCCCAGAAACCCGCAAGAAGTTGCTATGAGTTAGCCTAGACTCGATGGTAGTGAGAGTGAGAGAGCAGATCCCTGTAGAATCTCTGCTTTATTGGGAGGCAGCTGCACAAGACAGAGACGCATATCATGGAGAGAAGTTGTCGGCAAGCATCCACTGATGGCAGAGACATGTCTGCCTGTGCTGTATTTGGAAGAAGCACATGCATATATGAACTGGAACTTACCCACCGCTACTGGGGTTCCAGGCCATATATGTTTATTCCACATAAGCCCATGTATATATGTGCTTCAAACGGCTCATGTAAAAATGGAATGGAAAAAAGGCGATTTTACATGAATTTTGAAATATATATCTATATATCAACTATCTATATCTACATATGTAACATAATGTATTTTGGTGTGTGAAGGTAAAGACCATTGCAAAAAGTATAGTTATGTCACAGTATATATTAGTAGGCACCATTATGTATCACAAAATGTTTAAACTGCATGAACAAAGTAAAGTCATTACTTTTGTGCCTGTATATAGTTAATAAGGTACTAAATAAATAAAAGTATATGGTTGGGATCAGTGCATTATGTAACTATAATTGAGTGTCTTGTTAGACGGTGGTGAGGTAGTTAAGTTGGTGGCCAGCTAAGACCTCTAGAAGTAGGTGCTATTGAAACTGAGACTGCAGGAAGAGGAGGAGCCTGTCCACCATTTGATGATCAAGGAAACGCAAAAGGAAGACAGGAAATGGTTACCTAGGGCAGGCATGTGGTTTTTGATGTTTAACCGAGATGGAGAAAGTTCAGGTTGTTAGGGAATAATGATTGAGAAGGACTACTGTGAATTATAAAGTCTATGAAATAGAGAGGCGTTAGGTCACAGATTGCTTTGTAAGTCACAGAGATTTTAGTGCGGTCAACGCCAAGGTTTTTAAAGCAAAGGAGTGACATGATCTGATTTATGTTTCAAAAAGAGCAGTCAGACTGGTATGGACAGAATAGATCATCACAGAATAAAAGTGGAAGCAGAGACCAAGTATGAGGCTGTTATGCAGTCATTCAGACAAGAGATAATGGTTCCCTGGACCAGGATGATGGAGCTAAGATGGGGTAGTATAGATGGTTATGGACATGTAGTTTTAACCATAACTTTTGCCTCTGTTACTCATGCCAAATTTAAAAGTCATATACCTTTAGAATTCATTCAAATGACTTTTGGTAATAGTAATTCATTATTCTTTAGTCAAATATTGACACTCTTTCAACTAACTAGCACATTTCTTCCTTCATTCTTAATAATATAGAAATGTACAAATTTTCCTAATTGGCTTACCACAATGACCCATCATAAAATGTCTCAAAATATGTCCAAAGAACTATGTTGCCACTGAGACTTCTAAAGTGTTCATGAAAACGCTCAATATTATGCCATTTTAATCATCTTCACTGTAAATGTTGGCTGGGCGTGTATCTGCTCTAGTCCTCCAGGCACTCAATCACCTCAGTTTCTTTTTGTGTCATACCAAAGTTTAAGTTTGTTTTATTTCTCTAAAAAAGAAATAAGGGCTACAGTATTTGCCAATTCAGTATTTTCATGTGTAGAATTCAACAAAATCATAGTATATGCTCATCAACAGTTTCCATTGCCGAATTTCTCTCACATTCCATCCTTCTCATTCTGGATAGCTCAACGCTCAAAGCTCAAAGCAGTGATGCTTTGAGTCAATACTGACTTGTAGTTCCTGACTCGTGGAGACCCCATAGGACAGGGTAGAACTCGCCCTGTGAGTTTCTGAGTAACTGTTTACAGGAGAAGAAAATCCTGTCCAGTTTCCTCCTGAGGAACTGCTGGTGGTTTCAAACCACTGACCTTTATTAGGTTTGCAGCCCAACTTATAAGCACCATGCCATGAGGACTCCTTTCATCCTTGATGAGCACTATTAAATTCTAATCTTTATATGTTAGCCTGTTCTAGGTATTTCATGCAATCATTCAAGATATATATATGTATATTATGATTGGCTAAGTTTATTCAGCATAACATTTTCCATAGTTATCTATGTTGGGGAATGTAGTCAGGATATTTACAAACTATGGTTTTCTTCCTCACCTGGGATAAATGGAGCTATTTTTTAGTAAACAAGAAGTCTATATTTACACCAAGACAGTGCTCGTAACTTGTAAGGTGCATAATCACAACCCCTTGAGATGAAATAGTAACCATTTCAAGTACAAGCAAAATACAACCAAATCATGTCATCCACGGATTTTATGGTGAATTCAGTCAAAGAGACCTACATTAGCTCCTGTTCAATGTTTAATTAATTCGATTTTTAAGGATTAAATGAGATTTGTTCCACTTACTAACTCAGACTAGGGTTGCTTCTTAGACGAGATCTGAAACTAATTTGACCCATTTGCTTTGAACAAATCCCAGAGATCCACCCCATGCCTCAGACACACTCAGGTGGAGTGCTCAGGGTGCTGTTCCCGCTACTGACAGCTTCACCTAGAGTTAGGGTGACCCAACTTACCTCCCAAACGGTAATCCTTACTTTAAAATATCCCGTGGCTAAAGTATGTTAGCAAGATCAATAAAACACACTAATATGAAAAAAGAGGTTTTTATTCCATAAGAAAGGTATAGTAGCCATAATCTGTTGTAGGGAAGCAATTAGCACATTCGGTAGAGGTGCTACTTCTTTCAAACGCCCCATGCTTTAGCTGTCCATTGCTTTCACAGCTGCTGGCCAGAAAACTTCAAAAAGTTTGAGGGAAAATGAAGTTAAAAGATAATGGAATTTTCCTACCAACTTTTTGAAGCCCCCTTGTATTCCAGACCTTTCCTCCCATTGGATAAATAGAGACCCATGATTCTTAGCAGAACTTACTTGTTCTAAGTGCCTTTCCCCCAGCAATAATGGACTCTTGTTTCCCAAGCGGACATGTAGCCACGTAATTACAGTGCATTAGGAACTCAGACTCTAGAGCTCTGTCACTTAAGAACCAAGTGACCTTAAGCGAGTTATTCAATAGAGAGCTTGGTAAAATGGTCCGTGGTGGCATTAAATAAGAAAAAGAATACAAAACCTTTCGATAACCTTTAGATACAACATTTAGTCTGGATACAGTTTAGCTGGCTAGCCCTGGTAAGCTTTGCACTACTAGCAGAAAGCTCAGAGGTCCAAATTCACCAGCTATTCCTCTTAGAGAAAGAGGAGGCTTTCGACTCCCATAAAGATTGGCAAAGCCTTGGAATCTCTAGATGGGCTTCTCTGAATGGGAAATGATGTGATGGCAGTGGATTGGTTCGGGTTGGTTCAGCCAACTGTGGTGACAGTTGTGGCATAGCAGCTAGCTATCACTGCTTTCATGTAATCTTTTTAGGTGATTCCCGAAGCTTGATGCAAGTTCTCAGGCTCACTTTGTCAGTCAGGGGGCTTCTGCATGGATAACTTCACCAGAGAACATCTTTAGAAGAACTGGCAGAGAGAGAGGGTTAACACAGAGTAGGGATTGCTCGGCCCCCAATTTCATGGTAACCGGAGCAATCTGTGCAAAAACGGTCTGTGTATTTTGCTTTGTAATGACTGAGATGAAATATCAGTAGAATTAAAAACAAAGATGGAAGGGCACTGTACTTCCTGAAACAAACAAACAAATGAAAACCGAAACAGGTGCTCAGAGACTTGGCTGACTCATGGCAGCCCCAGGCATGACCTGGGAGAACTATGTGTCTCTGGGTTTTCAATGACTGATTTTTCAAAAACAGATCGCCAGGACTTCCCGTGGAGGCATTCTAGGTACACGCTAACTTTAGTAGTTTAACAGGTTAGCTCGGGAGCATTCTAATGCTTGTGGGGGAGGCGTCTGGGAAAGCTCCCCAAATCTGATCATAAAGAGAGTTGTCAATTCAGTTCCATTCAGACGACGTCAAATTGAACAGAGACAGACTTTCCTCCTTTGTGGAAGAAATATATATATATAATACTATTTATATTTATTAGCTATATAAATAAGCATATCTCACATCTTTCTGCTACCAGCCCAAGGCTTAGGAGAGAAAATCCAGGGAAGATATAAGGTCTGCTTCATGGAAGAGCAACTAGTGTGTGAGGCCTATTAGAGGAGAGGTGTTGCAGGCTAGCAAATCGCTCTAAGAGTCATCCTATTAGGGCTATCAATGATTTGCCTTAGAAGCCCTGGGTGATGTAGTGGGTTATGTGTTGGGTTGTAAACCAAAAGGTCAGCAGTTAGAACCCACCAGCGATCTGCAGGAGAAAGATGAGGCTTTGTGCTCCAGTAAATATTTATCATCTCAGAAACCCACGGGAGCAATTCTACTTGTTCCTATCCAATCACTTTGCGTCAGATTTGACTCAGGGAAGTAAGTCCAGACTTGATTTTGTTATTTACCTTTCTAAAGAAAAATACAGTCATCTGAAAATAGGAGAAAGGAATGCGTACATTTGAAATGTTTCTAAACCATTTTTTATTTCATTTTCTGGAATAGCTGTGATTTTTCTAATCTTTTGGATAAGTCCTTCCTTTGCCAACCTCAAACAATCTTTTCATATGGGGAAGAGCTTGCCTGAATGACGCACCCAAAATAACCCTTGCTGTTGTCACATAGCACATGCTCTCAATATATTTAGAATATTGTAGCTGACAACTGAATGTTAATAACTGATTTCTCTTCATTTCCCCCCTTTCAGGTCCTTGAGTGCAAGCTACTTGATCAAACATCTGATAGTCACAAATTTGAAAACGTGCTTCAGAATCCCAGCACATAGGAAAAGGAAAAGACAACACTGCTGATTATACCTGTCAAGATGCTCTGAATACTTGGTGTATAAATTCTTTACCAAGGCAACTCGACACCTTCGTTCTCTGGGCATGAACCCCCATTATTGACGTGCCCTTTACACACACAGGATTCCCACTCACTGCAGTGGGAGTTCGTTGTGTGTAAAGGGAGAAGTTTTCCAGTCTGCAGACTGAAACAGTATTAGCACAATAAAGTCTGTGACTTTTGAATAGATCACTGGGGCCAGGATTAAGTGAATCTTGGTCTAAAGCGTTTCCAGAGATGAACAAACCCCTTGTTAGGCTATAGTTCAAACTGCATCAGTTCAAGGTTGCTGCCACTTATAAGAAACCTATACATTGCCCCTTACCCTGATATAGCTGGGTTGTCTGCATTGGAATTCCATTTAATTACAAATTCATCCTTACTCCCCTCTTGAAAATGGCAAGTGATGATACTATATTTATACTTAATTCAGGTTTTAGGAACAGTTGGCTTTTTATTTTGGAGTTCCTTAGACTTTATTGTGAATTAATAGAGTCGAGCCAGTTTAGCTCAACTTTTAGTTTGTTAGAAACAAGGATAGAGCACTCTAGGACTGTATTTTTTATTTAAGTATCGCTATTATTATTATTAATTCTAACAGAATATAATATATATTTATTCCACACAATATATATTATCAGAAGTTTATTTGTTACAAATGTAGGTCCTCTTCTTACCGTGTGTTAGGAATTCGGTAAGGGATGCCTAGCAAAGGCCCTAGCTGCATTGAACTTGTCCTCATGTGATGCATAGAACCCGATCCTCTGTATTTTACTATTGTTGTTTTATATTTTTTGATTGGTAAATGCTGGGGAATTCCAGTCACTTTCTACACTGATGTGCTTTCCGAAAAGTCTGACATATTACAACTTAGGCCTTTATAACACCAAATGACAATATATGAGAGCATATATACAAATATAAATATATATCATACAAAGTTTAGATCCATTTCTCCAAATATAAAGGGGATAGTCTTGGCATTCTGAGACCAATATATTATTCTTAAGATGAAGCATTGACAACCAGTGATATCCATATTGTAAATGAACAGAGGTTGCTTCCTTTAGAGGAAAAAGATGCCAACTTAACTGCACCTATGTATGTAGGTAAACAGACAGATAACATCCTGCAGAAAATGTCACTTACCAAAAATGGTGTGTTTAAAACCCCTTATACAGACTCCAACTATTGGTTTGTGATAAATCTGGGCAAATAAGTTGATTTTACTTTATGGAATGAAGAAGAAGCAACCTTTATTTGGGCATTTAAATACTTAAAGCACACACAAAAAATGCTCTTGACACAAGATGAAATATTTGCAATAGAGGATTAACACTGAGATGAATATTCAAATATCCCCTATTCTCAAATGTAGAAATTAATTTCAATGGATGAAATAAATTTGACATTTCAGACAGTCTACCTAATTAGAAACTTTTGAGGTTGAGGTTAGAAGCTCTCCTTTTGGAAATAAAGCAAAACCAGTTAGAGCTACCCAGCGCTTTTTGGTTTTTTGGTCCTTGTGGATGGCACTCTTTTCAATACCAAGTTCTACCTGCTCTTCATTGTAGGTCAACCACCAGAAACCATTGAAACTAAGAAGTACACCTATTTCAACAAGATCCCAAGATTCCCATCCTTCAAAACATACTTTTTTTTAAGAGAGACTTGCGTGTGAGGATCCTGTATGTTGTGTACCAGGTGTGTACAAAAGAGAGAAACACAATGAAAGGGAATGAATGAATAGAAAGTATGTCAGTGTGATCCACGTTGAGAGAAGTAGTTCCCATTTTTATAAGAAGAACTTAATAAAACATATATTTTAGTTATCATTTAACAAATGCTGAAGTGTTAAAGCTATTCAAGCAATGCCACAATATTCTCGTGAAGGGAAGTGTACACCCTCATATTGAGAAAATGGTCACTTCAACCATTTCACTACATTGTGTGAATGTGAGGCATAAGATGGAGATGTTTTTATGTAGCACAAAGTTGTTTGGTTAAAATTAAAGTTATCCATATATTTTCATACCAATGCAAATATTATTATGGTCTTACAGAAGCAGCTACAAAGGAGCAGATGCCTTCTATTTTGTGTGTTCTACAAGTCTTTGCTAATTCCTGCCCACTCCCATAATGTCAAATGCTGATACATGTATTCCAAGTTGTTGATCAAAATGAAGGAGCACCCATCACATACAAATGAATGGCAAAAGAGCCAGTTTTCATCAATAGAATTTTGAAGTTACTGACCTTCAAGCCTTCACCTACACTTTTGATCAGAGAATTAGGCTCCTTGTGGCTCTCTACGCTTCACTGGCGTTGGGGCTTATGGGAAGGGAAAAACGAAGAAAATAAAGAAGTACCATAATTTATATTAATGCTCTTTATTGTTAAAAGTCATATGTGAGCCACTGACATGCCAAAAATCATATTAAGATTTAAAATAAGCACACCAGATGGCTCTTACTGACCAATCGTTACACACAAATCAGGTCATCGATGTGGAGGAAAACAATGTGTGACTTTATTGGTGAATTTCTTTTATCATCAGAGGAGCTCTGATGGTGCCGACAGGTAAGCTGGGACGTTTGAAACCATCGGCCACTCTTCAGGAGAGCGATGAGGCTTCATTCATACTGCTGTAAAGATCTATGATTTCAGAATCCCCCAGGGGCCGTGTTACTCTATAGGGTGGAGTGAGGTGGCTCCACTGTGCAGCAGTGAGTTCTTTATGCTGATGAATTGGTGACTTCTTTCCGTCGATCAGAGTGATGGCCGCTAGGATGCCGTTTGTCCTCAACTCTTTGCTGGTATAATATTAAGGCCAATGCACAAAGCCTACTTTAGTAAAAGAAAGCCGGAACCTTCTGGTTAGAGCATTCATGCTTTGATAGTGTTGCTATTTGGAATAGAACATCTGCAGGGAGATAATGAGCTTAAATGACAATTGACTTTGCAAAGAATAACAGACTTTTGTGCTTCCTCAATCATGTAATCAATAGGAAATTCTCTGTTATGTGAATTACCACTATCTTTAAAGACCATTCTAAGATCTAAATGCAGAATCTAGTGTTCAGAGGCTTTTGTTTTCTCAGTCACTCCAGGCTGTCTCTAAGGAACTTGGCTAGAGATGGATGACACCAATTACCAAATGCAGTTTTCAGCAGCAACGAATCAAACTGATGTTGTCTCATTTCATTTTACTCAGCTGTGTCTATACAACTCTGATACACGGGAATATTTTGTCTACATCATTTTAGACATCTCGATATTTGTGGATATGTGAATAAGGCCTGAATTGCTCAGATTTTAGCTAGTTTGTGTTTGTCATACAGACCCAGTCTGTTGGTAAAGCCAGACTTAAGCAACATTGTAAAGCAGAAATCAACACCCTGAAAATTCAAGAAGGCCTCCACATAAAAAGATCTCCCCAAATATGAGTAGCTGCCTCCCACCCCCATCTGGTTTCTGCCTAGATGACAAATCCATAAGAAAAAGAACTGTGACTGCCTCGTTAACTGCTGTCTCCCTGGTGGCTGTGCCTAGTGCCGGCCATCGTCGGCAGTCCATGTTTGTTGGGTGACTGAACAGGTAGGACAAAAAGCCGACCATTTCGCAGATCTTAGCAGTCTCTATCTTAGAGAGTGTCTTTAATTTCCAAACATCATGTTAACACCAGAATTGAGTCTTGATGCATATTTTCGGGTTTATAAATTTGGAATGAAATTACTTCAAAAATTTCAAGGATTTCAGGACATTCAGATAAGAATATCTGGAGATTTAGAGACCTCCTTGAAGTGAATGGTCTCCACTTTTGTAATCGTATAAGAGAGCAGATTGCATGTTTTACAGGGGGGGTTTCAAACATAGTGCCGCTATAAGTCGCCATTGAGTTGATAACAGTGAATTTGGTTTTTTTCTTTCAAACATCAAACCGTTTCTAAATTTTGATTCCAACATAGAACTCTGTTGTCCATTTTATTAAATGATTTATTCTGTAAAAAATGAGGAAAAAGTATTTCATTATGGATATCATAAATGTTCCTTTCAAAAGTATCAACAACTTTCCTCTAAAGAATTCCAAGTAATTAGTTATAGCATCCCCAAATTTTCTTCTGCTTTCAAAAGGCCACTTTTCCCTTCATATCTGACTCTTTCCATGTACCTGAGTTAAAGTTGAATCGCATACATTTAAGACTTTCCCCTGTGTTCATTCATTTAATGAATAACTACTGTGCACATCCCAGGTGCTCAATTATGGAACTACATATGGAAACCAGATGAGCATCCCCCTGCATTGAGCTTAGTGTGAGGGGCTGAGGGGTTCTTCCGTTTCCTCTAGCCGTAGCTAGAATCTCCTGTTCACTGGGTCTCCATCACCTCTGATACAAATGAATGAAATCCCCTAGCCCCAGGAAAATGTGCCCAGATTAATATGACATTGGTTTCCTAAGCACACCATTCAAAAATTCTGCTCAATTTGTCCACATACCACAGTTACCGCAAACCCCAGTGATGTAGGTAAATAATGCTTATTTCATAACTGAAATTTATTAGGTGCATACTATATTCTATCTCCTGTGCTAAACACTTTCTTGGTTTATCTCATTTGATCCCTTCAACAATAAGTAGTTTCTAGTTTAGATAAGAAGACAAGCACAGAGATGTTATGTGGATTGCCCAAGGTTACACTGGTAGCGAGTAGCACTACAATTTAAACCCATGCAGCCTAACACAATGCACCCCTCCCTTATGCTAGTCTGTACTTTGGGGGGCATCATTAAAAATGATTCTCTATAACTGTCTAAAATGCATAGATGATTTGCTGTGTATGACAATATTTTGAAAATTGCAATATGAAAGGTTATTAAAGTATTACTCGGAAAAATCACATCAGTGGCAGAAACTGGGTTGGAACTCAATCTCATGTTACAGCTTCAGCTCATGAAAAATAGTTCAGGCCAGAGATGTGGATAAAAACAATGGTCCGGAAAACTTATGGCATGTTATAGTTATTTGAATGGCTTTTTGGAATTACATGTTGATAGCCACTGTGTGTATTTGGTGCTACAAAAACTGAAAGAAACAAATCCCCTGCTATAAGGGCTTATAATAAATACACAGTGTGCAGATGAGCCCAAGGTATTTTACATACATGGAGCAGGATTGGGCAATGGTCCTGGTTTCTCCTTGTCGCATGTGCATCATGTTTCCAATTGTTTTCATTATTTCTTCTGAAAGAGCTGCGAATTGTGCAGTGGTTCACCCTGACCAAAGTGGTATTATGCTGCTGGGAAGTAAAAGTATTAGACACCAGACTGGAAATGTTGTCTTCATTATCAATCAAATAACTTTGTTATTTTAAAAGCATGGCTACACAGATATTTTTAAATTCTGAGAGAATTTGAATACTTAGAAACTACATTCTTAGGTTTTGCAGCCCCTGACCATACAATCACTTCATCCTATTGAGTGGTTAGGTTTTTAAGCCAGTGTGAAAGGCAGGGACGGTGGGTCTAGCATTGCGATCAAAATCAGAACGATCAGGGTTCACACTTGCATAGAACTAATGCTTTCTAAGGGAACGGTGAGTTCTTGGCTCCTCTCTCATTTGCTCACAAAGAATCATCGGCATTATTTCAATGTATTATCTGTCCCTACCTCAGTTAAATGAATATGGAATACAACTCAAATTCAAGTAAAGCCAAAGAATCTTCTTAAGAAAACCACTTCCATAGCTCATTATTCGATGCTATTACGAACCAATTCCATACATAGCTGCTAGAGAGTGAATTCTGAGTCATGGTGACCTAAAGTAGCAAAGTGAGGCATCTAATGGTTCTGTGTCATCCTCGTGATCAAGGGCATACACTTGAGTGCATTGTGTCAACTATTGTGCCACTCCCTCATTGAGAGTCTCTTTCATCCTTGCTTTTGTTGTTTTCAGAAAGCCCATTTGTTTTCATGACAAAAGCTGCACTATAAATTTCTACTGAGTGCTGATGGTCACCTGACACATTTGCACCAGGCTATCTGTGTGACCAGCAGAGTCTAGCCATCAGACCAGGCCAGGAAGGTTCACGGAGGGGAGAAAGAGTCGGGTGTAGCTAAGCCTTGCTTTTAGCGCTAATAAATTCTTGCTTCAGGTCATCTACAATGATCTTGCCTTTCAAGTCCCAGGTCTTGATAGTGGGGCCTATGACAGCACAGAGCCAGTAGCAGTTAGGACTGAAGTGCAAGGTGTTTATGATGTCCCCTCTATCAAGGGTATAATGGTGCTTGCCTTCATTGATGTCCACAGCATGGCTTGGCCATCCTGGTCCCCAGAGAGAAGCACAGATGGGTATATCTGGGGAGAGAGTCCCACGTGTTTAAGTCATCTGTGTGGGCCATGTGGTTGGTTTTCAGCTTGCAATGAGCCAGTTTCCACACCTTAACCAACTTGTGCCAGCCATAGGAGACAATGGTGAGATTGCTGCTGTTGGGTGAAAAGTGGACATGCAGCACTCATTCCGAGAGGCTCACATCCAAGACGGTGCACTTGCGGACACCCAAAGTATCCCACGGCAGACCGTGTTTATCTTGGGAGCCAGTGACAGTCTGCTGGGTGTCACAAGAGATGGCCACACTCAGCCCATCCTTGTACAGTTTACAAATCCAAGTGTGATAGTGCCCATTGTGAGGTCCTAGAGGCATAGTGTTCCATCGCAGGAGCCGGGGAGGGCAGACTGGTCATTGGAAGAGAAGACTACATCACTCACAAAGTGAGAGTGACCACACCGAGCATGTTGGGGAATACCATAGTCTTCCCTGCCGGGCTTCCCAATAATGATGATCTTATTTCGAGAGGCAGACAGTATTCTGTCAGGAGTTGCAGAGTGGTAGCCACCTGGGTCACCTGGCCATTGTGGCCTTGAGGGTGCCATGAAGGGTCTTCTGCTCGGTGCCGGGGTTGCCACAGTAACAAGGATGGCACCAGATAGCTCAGAGACACCAGCAGCACCTCTCCCCCTGGTTGACCCTCTTCGTTTCGTCATTAAGTGTGATATCATCCACTGACAATTGATCCCTCAACATCAGCTGCTAGGGCAATGCTTTGTTGTGTGATCTGTACGTTTTAATATTGGCTAATTTTCAGAAGTAAATCACCAAGACATTCTAATTACTACTTTCTAAATAACTAACGATTTTAATTAAATGTTAAAATTAGTTAACATTTATTAATCTAAAATATTTTGAATGAAGATATGCAATTCACCAGTGGAGAAATTCAAATTTCCTATTGACAAAGTCATACCTGTCAACTTTTCTTTCAGCCTTTCTTTTCACACCTTGATTTCTCTTCAAAGCATTACCTTTTTCCGCTCAAATACAAAAGCCGTGAAGCCCTTTCCATTCTACCCTGGCCAAGGATCTTGAAGCATCTTCTCCTTCCCATGAGTTCCTAACTGCTTCCAATTACCACCTCCCCCCAACTTTTCTTTGATAGCTCTGCTGAAAAAACAATTCTGAATTTGATCCTTTACTCGAAGCCCCCCCAAAAGATGACATACAAAGTTTCGTGAGTGTGGCGTGGATTTGGGAGGACGTTACAGCGCTTTCCCTAAGAAGTGGAAAGTCTTCGGGAACACGGCCCTGATGTTGAAAGCTTGCACATGGTGTGTGAATTAGAAGTCATGTGGGTCCGTAACAATGAAAAGCAACACAAATGTCCCTTCAAGATAAACATAAACTAGCAGGACTCGATGCTGAAGATAGCTACCATGACGGCATCAGAATACAAATCACATTTTTCAACCTTTTCACCTGGCACGTGTGTGGTGGGGATGAGGGACAATTCTGAAGGATAGCCAGGAAAAGGGGTGATCTGTGACCTGGACTCACCTTGTAACTGCAGTACTTTGCTGCTATCTATGGGGATCATTCCCTGGGACTAGCCCCAACGTTCCTTCCCCCAAGCTTTCGATCATTCCTAAATGCCCTTTTCCTCTCCCTTTAAATACTTGACAAAATATTCAACTTTTAAGATCTATTCCAAATATCGATCCTTGGTATAAGAAGCTTGTTTTGTTTTTTCTATTTTTTTTCAGGTTTTATGTTGTCTACACTATAATCAAACTCTTGTGGTATTTGTACCTCTACTTAGCTTTTATCTTAACTTGTCGTGTAGTATACCCATTTATGTCTTTACCTTCTTAATTTCCCCTAAGGTTACTAATTACATAGAGTGAGTTCTTGATAAAAATAATTGCTCCTTCATTTTTCAAATTTATAGGAAAACTTCTGGATTATTTTAGGCCTAACCCAGTTCTTTGTAGCTCATTCAAGTTCATCAGAATTGAGAACTCAGTAACAATCTTAATCATTGAGTATATTAGTTTAAAAGGAAGAAAAGAAAAAGTAAGTTACTCTAAAGTGGTAAATCTTTCAATCTTCTTTTCTGAGTATTATCTTTATGCACACACACAATAACTTTGCTGCTGATTACTGATTTATCTCTATGTACATGTCCATTTGGAGAAAAACACGGCTTTCTACTTCTCTAAGAAGTTTCGGTCTCCAAGCCTTTAAGACCCCAGATGCTATATCTTTTGATAACCTGGCACCATCAACTTTCTTCACCACATTTGCTTATGCACCCATTTGTCTTCAGTGATCATATCAAGAAGGTGGCCACCCACTGATATGATTTTTTGTTCTTTCATGCCTGATACCTGGCTCTTCTACACCTCGTGGTCGCACAGGCTGGTGTGCTTCTTTCATGTGGGTTTTGTTGCTTCTGAGCTAGATGGCTGCTTGTTTACCTGCAAGCCTTTAAGACCCGAGACGCTATATCTTTTGATAGCCGGGCACCATCGGCTTTCTTCACCACATTTGCTTATGCACCCACTTTGTCTTCAGCAATCATGTCAGGAAGGTCTGCATCATGGAATGCCAATTTAATAGAACAAACTGTTCTTGCATTGAGTAAGTACTTGAGTGGAGGTCCAATGTCCATCTGCTGCCTTAATACTAAACCTATAAATATATGCACATAGATCTATTTCCCCACCATCCTATATAAATAAATTTACATATACACATGCCTGTATTTATACCTCTATAAATACCCTTTGCCTCCTAGTTCTTTCCTCTATTTCCTTTTACTTTCCTCTTGTCCCACTATCATGCTCAGCCTTCGTTTGGGTTTCAGTAGTTTCTCTTGGTTACATTGCCCTTGATGAATCCCTACCAGGCCTCTCACACCCTCCTTGCCACTAATTTTGGATCACTTGTTGCTCCCTTATCCTTGGGTTGGTCAACACCACCTCCTTTTCCCCACCTCCCCCTTTCCCATGTACCCCCGGAACCATCAGTCTCGTTGTTTTCTCCTCCAGACTGTTCATCCAGCCTATCTTATCTAGATAGATATGCATAGATGATAATATGCACCAAAAACACAAGGCATAGCAAGATGAAGCGACAAAAGAGAACACAACAATGACAACAAAAAAGAAAACCAATGACCCAGTAAAGAATAAATTAATTAAAAAAGAAAAAGAAAAAAATGTAAAAAAGAAAGAAAAACCTGTAAATAGATCAAAGACTGATTTTTGACCTCTAGGTGTGTCCTCAAAAAAAAAAGTTTCAGTCTCAGAAAACCCACAGGGGCAGTTCTACCCTGTCCTATACCACCATGCCTATGAGTCAGAATCAACTCTATGGCAGTGATTTTGATCTTTGGAGTTTGGCTGTTTGTTCCATGGGACAAAATTGTAAGGAGCAAAATGGTATTTTGGGGAACAAGCAAGAAGTGCAATATAACACCACTTCCAATAATTCTCCATTAATGAGTGGTCCTGTCTATAAACCAACAGTAAGATTTGCCTACTCTTCACTGATGTGTCTTTCACATTCAAGCCATTATATTAAAGGAGGGGCTTGAGGAACTAATTGTTATTGCCTTAACGGCTGTAGTTTAAATTGGAAGACAAGATATGACTAATAATATAAAAGCAAACATCCACCCACCCTTTGCCACAGGTCATGCATGTATGAACATGTCCTAGGAATTCATGCTAGCGCTAGTTTTATCTGCATATAACCTTTATCTACTCAACATAGTCAACATCTAACATAATACAAATTTTGGTTCATTTACACCCAGTGACAGAAAACATAACATCTTAAGAAAAATTACCACACATGCACATTTTCCCCACATTCTTTAAATTAGAATAATTCCAAACAGAAGTTCAAGATACCAACACAATATAGTTTCAGAGAGTTTAATTGAATTTTGGTTTCATATGGGCTTGGAATTACTTTGTTGCTATAG